GATGACCACTTGGGATAGATGATCTATTAATGGACTCATCCCTGGAGAAAACAAAATACTCCGCTCATTTACAGATCACTTCAGTTCTTTCCTCCTTTTTATGATTACAGCTTGGCATTTTGTTCTCAGATTTCAGCCTTGTTCTGTGTCTGTGAGTTCCATCGCCGCTCCGAGTGGCCACCTTCACTGGTATCTGCCCCTCGATCCTTCCACCCCGCTTAGTTTAAAGTTTGGAGACTATTCCAACCTAAGGACTCCTGGGGTTTGTGGTATCAGCAGTTTGTGTTCTTGTGACTTGGGGCAAATTTAATTTATAGTTTCTCTCTCGTGTCAGCCTCCTGGTAAGTAGATTCATGATTGGTTTGTGCTCTGAACTTTGAGACCTGGCAGCAGTACCGTGGAATACCATTCTCTCAGTCACAAAGAACTGGAGAAGGGAGACTACAGACTGCAGGTTGCTCACTTCAACAAGAGGTTACTGAGCCGTGGCCTAATAATTATGTTTTGATTCATGAATATTTATCACAGTGACCAAATATTTTTTCATCCATGACACGCAGAGGAATGTACCCTGAAATTACAGACAAGGATAAAAGAATGGGCATATTATCTGCCTCCTAAGTATTTATGATTAAAAACTTTTCAGACTGTTGTTCCTAAGAATTGTTCGGTTTAGGATAGACATTTGTCTAGACCTGAAAAGGGGAGGCCTGCAGTCAACCAAAGCTGCAGACATGCCTGAAGCCAGCTGACTTCTTTTACAGTGTACTAGTTCTGAACCGAAAGTTCCTTACTAGACGGCTTAGAGCAGACAGCTTAGAGCAGAACCTAACGGAACCCCCAGTGCATACTGGGTAGTGTCGAGAGAAGTGTTTGAGTAATCATTGCCCCCTATGTGACTAAGTATCAATTACCCTGGCTAATCAACAGTCCTCAGAATGAACTCATTGTTTCCTTTTTCTGTTTATTTGATGTACAGATTGAACTACAGATCTAATTACAAGTGTAAACACTAACAAAATCAATTTTTAATGTAAAAAGTAAAAGCTGAAAAATGAAGAAATTAAGGATGAGATTCCTACTTCTTTCATGGCTAAAAAATAATAAATGTAAATGCAGAAACCCTCTATTTGTCTCCAGCTTTGCCATTTGCCAAGTTCTCTCTTCCTTGCTGCCATGTGACTGGTGATTCAGAATATAGCTGGTCAGAGTCCTAGAACAGTCCTAGAAAGAAGGGATCACAGTGGCTTTCTGTGTCTGCCTAAGTGAGAGGGAGAGCAGAGGCCTTGAGAGAAAACTAGCCACAAGAAGGAACCATAGGAAACTGTGCGGCTAGTCTCCGCAGAAGGGACCGAGCCAGGCAGTCTAGCGCAAAGCAACCAGCTCCCAAGAGACGCCCACCGGAAGAGCCCAAGCTCCCACTCTTCCCCGACCATTTGCTCCTCCTCCCAGGAAGATGCCCCCTGCACTGGGCATGTAGAATGGAAAGACTGAACAGTAGAAGAATGTGGCCAAACCATTACGAAATGGTCCAGCTATAGTTACAAAAGAATCAGAGGGCGGAACCTAGCTCGCATCTCAGGCCCAACTCTGTCTTCGCCCCTTCGCACTCTCTCCTGCTGACGACAGTTCAAAACCATGGTCTCTGGTTTATCAATTATTTCTTAAGTCCCTCCTTTAAGTCATATTATAAACCATCAGTTCTCAACCTGTGGGTCGTGATCCCGGGGGGGGGGGTGTCAAACGACTCTTTCACAGAGGTCACATATCAGATATCCTGCCTATTAATTATTTACATCGTGATTCATAATAGTAGCAAAATTATATTTATGAAGTCTCAATGAAATAATTTCATGTTTGGGGGGTCAGCACAGCATGAGGTCCCAGCATTAAGAAGACCGAGAACCAGTCTTTCAAACACAACAGAGAGATGTTGCTAAGAAAAGCCTTGTCTAAGAACTTGCAGTTTAGTAGATTTCTTGGATATTCCAAATGTGTGTGTTTAAGAAAACCTAATTCTGAGGGTGCTACCTTGTCCGCCCCATCTCTGAACAAAAGGGAGTGGCGTGACTTCACATCGAAGCCTGAGGCCTCCCTCAGCCAGGAATCTTTAAGCTTTGAAGAAGTTGGAGAAAGGCCTGAGAAGAGAGTGTCCAAAGGAGCCAAGCCACCTCCCACCTTCCTGTTCTAGCCAGCTTTTTCCAGCACTTCTTGTTAAACTTGTGACCTGGGACACGAAGAACTCACAGAACTGGTGGCAAGGACAGCTGAGATTCTTGCCTTCGCTGGTCTTCCGCTTTAACGCGAGAACGCTGAAGACTCCTCCATGGTTAAGCACACCCCCTGCCCTTGCAGAGGACCTGGCTGGGCTCCGTACCACCCACATAGCGTCTCAGGAATGCCTGTGACTCCAGTTCCAGGGAAGCCAGCCCCCACTTTCCCCCTCGGTGGGTTTCCACATGCATGGGATGCAAATAAATCCATGAAGGCACATACAAATAACAAGTAAATCTTTAAAAATAGAGTTATGAGAATATATTATCCTTTAGATTATATGATTTCATTTGTGGCTCACTGAATATTGACTAATAAGCTGAAATTCCTAGATCAAAAGAAATATAGAAAGGGGCTTGATGTTATAGTCAATCCAGCTATAAACAAATTAAAGATTTTTAAAGCATTTTCATGATTATAGGCAGATGAGGAAATAAAACAGCAATACACAGACAGAATTGGCTTCCCTGTGAATGCCAGGAGGTGCAGGTGAATGTGATCTGGAGCACAGGAACTTGCTACGTGGTGGGGCCAGGATACCATGTCATTTGTGAACAGTTTGAGAGCCAGAACCACGCATCTCTCATCCTCGCACCTCAGTGCCTGGCGATACACACAGTGAATATGCACCGTTCTACAGCCTGACAATCTAGGCGACTCCTGAAGTTGCCCACAGCCCTGCAGCAGGAGCCTGCGCAGCATGCACTGGTTGGCAGGGGAACTTGTTTTTACCCTGAGGTCAGAAACTTCCACAGCTGAGGACATTGGATAATGGAGGCCCCTTTTCTATATTTGTACAGCTTGGCCCAGACCAAGCAAGAGTCATTTAAACATAATCTGTATTTAAGCATCCTTTCCTTTTTATTTTAGCCATGTTTGTGTTTCCTAGGGCATGTCTAAAAGTCTCAAAATATTTACTGTATACTTCCATGCTTTTTAGAAAAAGAAATGCGGTCTGCGAATGCAGTTCTGTTCAGCAGGCAGAGCGTTTCCTGGCACACGAAAGGCTGCATTTGAAAACAGACAGGAGAACGACTGTCCGGCTTTAACAGATGGGTCCTTAGAGATGGGTTTTAAAGCACGGGTTTTGTTTCCTTATCCAGCCTTTAACCTGTCACTTCTCAACACTTACAGTGACCCTGAAAAATAAATCAGTAACATTTGCACAGTTTTTAAGGCTGACACTTTAATTGTTTTCCTGTTTTGTCTATCGTTGTGGCCAATGAAATTAGGTCATAGTCATGTGAAAAGCTAGTTGTGTGAGAAAAATGTTGGATGAGGATGAGTGTTTTCAGGAAGATGTTGTTTCTATTAATGTGTACTTGAAACTAAATCACTGAGCCTACGTAATTTGGAATATTAATGTCTCTCCGAAAGAACCGTTGACCCGAATTCAATGGGAAATGTATGCTTCTGCTTGCTCTCGCGAGATGATTACAGCAATTAGTTTAAAAAATATGTTTACATGCACAGCACGGCTTTGTAAACGCGCTTAGTTGTGGAGACAGTTGGGAAGCTGTCTCCCCAGTAGGAGAAGAGTCTTGACCCTCTCGGTCCTCCCAAGACCTGAAGAGAGCAAATGCTGATCTGTGGAGCATGGCACTGTCCCCTTGGTTCACGTAGGGAAAGCGTTGCTTGTGACTGCTGGGCCATGGTGTTTCCTAAGAAATATTTTGCTGTTTAGACCAGTAGGTAGATATTTTGGGTGTGGACAGTTGCTATTGCTTCAGTACCCTAGAACCATGGAGAGGACAAACTCCATACAGCATTCACACATACTTATATTTCTGGAAAATGTTTATATGTTATTCCATTTCTTCTTTAATTAGCTGAGTTTCTTTATTTTTATCTTTATTGATTAAGAATTTTAGTAACAGATATTCTTCCTTGTATTAAAATTTTCAATACCAAAAACACAGAGGGCACATTTAAGGTATTGTATTGTCTAAATAAAAACGTCGGAGTGGGGTCGAGGGACACACGGCTTTGGAGAGCAGTCATACAGTAGAGCACGTGTGGAAATCATGACGAACAGGAGTGTAACGAGCAGAACACAAACAAAGACCAGTCCTTTCTTGTGACGTTAGCAGAGCAATTATCAAGAGTTTGAGCACGTTGTTGAGGGATTTGAAGGGCTAACGGCTTTTGAAGAATGCACGAGATAGCTCTGTCGCTCTTGGGAAACATTTATGGAGAAGCATGGATTGCTAAATCTTAAGCAATCCACAGTCCCTATGCAGCGACTCGGTTCCAAGTAGCATAAGTAGGTGAGATGCACACAAGGGTGTCAAGTGGCACTTATTTGGCTCTCTCCAAATGCACAGAAAGTAAGTGGAATACCTCAATTAGCTAAATAGGCATCCAGTGGGGGATGAATAAAAAATAAAGGGCAGGAGGTTTGCCTTCTAAAACAAGATGAATATAGCTCAATAATAAATTTCTGTAATTTATTGCATGTGTTAGTGGGCTACATTCAGAGTTGCTAAATATATTAAGAAAAAAATGATTGACGAGCGCCCAGTCTTCCTAAGCAGCATTGATGAGCATTCTGTGACTTGGAATGTGCAGTGTGGCCTCTTGTCTGAGTGCGGCTTACTCAGTTGCTCCTAGATTTAAGTAAGATTGGAGCCTCCCAAAGATGATCAGCGAGCTTACTGTTGTGTTTAGGCTTCAGCTGTGCTGGCCAGACTGCCTTTGACATACTAATGCATTTTTTCTTTTTATAGGGACTTTATGTTTTTGTGGTTTATTTCATTTTACACAACCAAACATGTTGCCCCATGAAGGCCAGCTACACGGTGGAAATGAACGGTCATCCAGGACCTAGCACAGCTTTCTTCACTCCTGGGAGCGGAATGCCTGCAGCTGGAGAGATGAACAAATCTACCCAGAACCTCATCAATGCTATGGAAGAGGTGTGTCCCCGGCCCCACCCTGACACCCTCTCACCTACTGACCAGCCCTTTTTTGATAAAAAGTAAAGACAAAAGATGCTAGCCAACTTTTGAGCCCATCCCTCTGTGCAGTGGCATTTGAAGGATCTTAATTGGTTATTTTTCTGTCCTGTGAGCCACATGGACCAGCCATTTTTATTGAGAAATCAAAGCAAAATGTGTCATTTCCTTCAAAACTTTCTAATCTGATATGACAGGAATTGAATATGTCTAAGAAATGCTTTCAAAAATACCATTCTTCCTAAAATCACACTCAAAGTCATCCTTGTCTGCGTCTCCCCTCACAGTTCTTTAATCCCAACAAAGAGAAGCAAGCAGGCAGACACTCCTTTCTGTTGAAATCCACTCATAAGTCTAAAGCAGAGCTCAGGGGCTGCTTTGTTGCACTCCTGAAAAATCTAGGCAGGATTTCCTCCACAAAATCTGCCTCCCACTGCTGGCAACATTATTCTGTCCATATACGCTTGATTTCCTGAGTCTGACTCACATACCCTTCACCCCCGCCTTTTGGCAAAGTGTTAGTCTGGACTGTAAAGCCCACCTGAATACAACTATCCCAGAAGAGGCAGTGATGCACAGCCCTCACAACTGTGCAGGTTCGCGATGTGCCTGGCTGCATGCCTTATGAATGAAAGAAGCAGGTGTGTGTCTTACTTTCATATAAATGCATGAAATTAAGAAACATTTTATTGAATAAGAAATATTGATAGGATGATAGATGGATAGATAAGTAGATAATGATAGGTAACTGTTAGATGGTTGCTAGAGATGTGATAGACAAAGACAGAAAGACAGATAGACGATAGATAGGTAGATAGATAGATAGATAGATAGATAGATAGATAGATAGATAGATAGATAATCTACCTGCCCAGAGATACCTTATGAGGGATGTACTCTCATTCCTGTCAATTTAAAATGGAAGCAAATGATTACAATGCCATTACTGTGTATAGCCTTTTTGTTTGAATAAAAATTACTATAAGGAATTATCAATTCATAATGGATAAGCATGCATAGGATAAAAATGGTTGACAGGGCTCATAGGTAGGAGATAAATAAAAGTGTAGATTAAAAAGAATGTATTTTGTCTGTCATATGAATAAGTTTAAGAAGGATGTTTAAAAATTGAGATATGCCAGAGCTAGAGAGATGGCTTAGCAGTTAAGAACACTTGCTGCTCTTACAGAGGACCCAGGTTTAATTCCCAGCTCCCACCCGTGGCTTACAACCATGTATAGCTTCAGTTCCAGGGACCCAGTGCTCTCTTCTAGTTTCTGTAGGGACCAGGCATGTACATGGTACAAAGCACACATGCAGGCAAAACACTCATAACATAAAAATAAATAAACCTTCAATTTTTTAAGAAAGAAAAATGTTGAGATATGTCTTTAGTACTTTGATATTGAAATTTGGTACCATTTTATATGTCAGATTTTTTAAACTGAGTTATTTTATCATAACTAGTGACCAAAAAAGCCAACAGGAGTATTTTTAAGATCCATTGGTCTTGTTGAATCATTAACAATTTAGCATTTGTCCAGCTCTGACCTGTCTTGTGAAATATCTTTTAACTATGTGTGGCTGAATTAAAGTAACTAGCATTACAGATCTAGTTTGTCATTCACTCAGTGACACTGTAAATGTTCCCGGGACACATGTGCCCAGAAGCTGCAGTATCGGAGAACTTAAATATGAACTATTCTTGTCACTGAAAACAGTTCTGGAGAACAGTGCTGTCCTCGATGCCTGGACTCGTGGTGACGATCATCTGAGGTTTCACCTTCTCTTGAGTTCATCTCTGAGGTTCTTGGTTCCCTCTTCTCAGTATGAAGTGTCCCTAAAGTCGCTCAGCAAACCCTTACGTCGGAAGGCAACAGCTGTAACCCTCTGGTTCCTGGGCTGGGGCCATCCCTTGAGTGTCCCTCTGGGGTGTTGCACAACTGCATAGCTTAAAGTCTGTCTGCATTCCTCAGAGGCTCAAAACTGGCTGTGATCCAGCTGTCAATGAGAGACTGCGGGAGACAGTCTAAAAAGCCAGCAAGAGCAGGGAAGGCCAGGGAAAAGAAGGATTAAGGACTATTTGCCACTAACCTGGTTTGCCAGTAACCTAGAAAGGCAGGAATACATTTAATCATCTCAGAACAGAACTCCTTTGAGCGTTTAGTCAAAAGCAAGGAAGGATTTTGATAAACTCCCTTTAGTTCAATGTGCTTTTTTATATACTGGCCCCAATTAAAATATATTTCAGATTAATAATTTGGAGGGTTCTTCTGAATTTCCTTAATATACATTTTACAAATAAATAAACAGAGAAATAGTTTTATCTCCCCATACATGGCATCATAGCAATCTACTATCAATCTCACAGTATAACAGTGATTTTGAGAAACTGTTACATCATGAGGTTATACTAGCTCGAGGCGAGGCATGCTTTTCTGAAGAACAAACATAAAATGCAAGCTCATAAAAGCAATTCAATAGGCCATCCACAGTTTTAAATGAAATGCAAAAAAATTGTTGCAAAAATGGGCTTCAAAATTAATGCGTACATTCATGTCATGTTATCAATTGTCACTTTCTTCTGCTCTTGCCCCAATCCAAAAGGTGCCATCTGACTGGGAGAGAGCATCCTTCCAGCAGACCAGCCAGGCAAGCCCTGATTTGAAGACAAGTCCCCAGAATGGTGCCTCATTCCCTTCTTCTGGAGGATATGGGCAGGGGTCCCTGGTAGCCGATGAAGAGTCCCAAGAATTTGATGATTTGATATTTGCATTAAAAACTGGTATGTATGAACCCACAACTGGCATTAGGAACTGGCAGCCTGCGAGCCTGTTACATTCTCTCCCCTTCCATGAGAGTGCAAACGCACTGTCAGCCACGGCATGTCCTGATTCTCATGACCCGTGTCTGATCCCAGTCAAGCCCTAGGATATTCTGTTCCTAGCATCAAATATAACACACAGCCTAAAAATAATTTACGATTTGCTTTTAACAAAGAAAACAACATATTCTAACTAAATGTAAATATCTGTGTCCTGAAATCTGGCTAGAACACCAAGACCTTAGTAAGTCGGATTCAATATAAACTTACTGAAGGAGTTTTCCTCTGATCTGCAAAAAAAGGGGAAAAAAAGAATGTCATTTATGAGGACGTATTTCATATACATTCAGAAGTCATGTAACAAACATGTATATGTCTGCAGTTTTCAAGGTGTACAATCACATGTTGTATTTTATTGACTGTGTGTGTGTGTGTGTGTGTGTGTGTGTGTGTGTGTGTGTGCGCGTGCGCGCGCGTGCGTGTGAGTGCGTGTGTGTGTTCAGTTCCACTCAATCTATAACCCTAGTGGATAATTCCTATACAGAAAGCAATAAGATCCTAAAGACCCCAGCACATTACCTAGAAATGGGGAAAGTGAGAAATCTGACTGAAGGTCACATGCTAGTGGAAAAACATTAATGAATACCATTCTTTTTAATATGTAAATGTTCCCATTAGTGGCAGTGTGGTCTTTCCACCCCTGTGACAGACCCATGACCAAAACGTGAAAGGGTGGTTTCTTTTGGCTGATGATTTCAGAGGTTTCAGTCCATGGTCCGCTGGCTCCCTTGCTTTCAGGCCCAGGACAAAGTAGAAATATCAAGGAAAGGCATGAGGAAAGATGGTCACTGTCTGGAAACCCCAGTATAAAAGGAGTAGCAGGAAGGGGCCAGGGTCAAGACGGCCTCCTCACAAGCGTGCTACCAGCAGTATGTCTTTGGATGCCACCTTCTGGATATTCATTCAATTTTAGACAATATCAATGAATGACACTATTGACTAGGCCAGAGTGAGTCCCCTGATTTTAAAATGACCTTACAAAAAACCCTGAAAGGAGAAGTGAGGTGACTTCTCAGTTTGGTCAAGCTGGCAATGAAGATTAGCCATCATAGTAGTTTGGGTTAGATACATAATGTGCCATAACTCTATTGTGAATATTAATCATTTTAGAGTTTTCCTAATCCTATAAGCAGTTTTTTAAACATTTTCTTTTTCAAAAAAATTTTGAACTATTCCTATTGGAAAATTAGTAATGAAGTTTTTAAAAAGCAAGAAGATACAGTTGCAAAGAAGCTTCTTAAATGCTTACTTAAAAATGTTTCCATGTAAAGTAGCTTGATTTTTCTATGACCAGATATTCCTTTGGCAAAGCATTTTTGTCATCACAAAGTAAATCTCTTACATCTTGAGAATGACTGGAACAACCCAGGGATTGTATCTCAATTTGTATTCCATATTAGGGTCTCATTATTAAGAAATAGTAAGAATACAAAGCACATCACTGTCACCTGACCCCTCCCTATGCCCACACCCAGAATGCCATGCTGCCCTCATGCCCTTTTGAGAAATGACAAATCCAACTGAAATGAGAACAAACTCACCCCTTCATACACAACAGGTGCTGATACTCAAATGACAGCGGAAGGACCTTTCAAAACATGAGTGATCAAATGGATGAAAAACACGAAACCTGGGACTGTTGTGGAGGAATAGACACAGGAGTTAAAAAAGAATAAAATAAATAATCAAGAAAATTGTAGAGTTTTGTAATCAAGGGACAAAGCTCTCTCAGTTGAAGAATGTGTAGTGTTTAAACAGGAAAGGAATAGAGGAAGGGCATTACATACTCGAGGAGTCTAAAGAAAAATTTCAGCCTTAGTGTGAAGCTTGTTTGTGGAGAACATCACTAAGGAGGAGAAGGACTGAGTAGGCTGAGACAGGCTCACAGGGGCTTCTCTCATACTATCAGCAGCTAAAGCCATGATGAGTGAAAGCAAGCACACCCCTCCAGGGAGCAACCCCTGCCAGGGGGCATTGGGAAGACTATAGATCCACAGCCCAAATTAGCACTTTGACAGTTCTAAAGTGTAGTAGGAGGAAGCTGTTTGTTCGTCCCAGCTGCCCAACTAGCTTAGCCCCGAAATAATCACACAGAAACTGTATTAATTAAAACACTGCTTGACCCATTAGCTCTAACTTCTTATTGGCTAACTCTTACATATTAATTTAACCAATTCCTATTAATCTGTATATCACCACAAGGTCGTGGCCTGACAGCAAAGTTTCAGCATATATATCCCCAGCGGCGGCCCGGTGGCATCTCTCTGACTCCACCCTTCCTTCTCCCAGCATTCAGTCCAGCTTTTCCTGCCTGCCTAAGATCTGCCTTTCTGTAGGTCCAAAGCAGTTTCTTTATTCATTAATGGTAATCACAGCACACGGAAGGGACTCCCACATCAATAAAGTGCTGTAGAAAGACCTACTTTATTGAATTTAACCTTGTACTTCTGGAATACAGTTAGTGGAAATTTCCTTTTGGGAGTACAGAACCCTTGGGGCTGTTTAGCACAATGTTAAAATGCTGTTTGGTAGTCCTAAGTAGTTGGACATTTATAGTGAACCATGGGGGTCTTTTTGAGAAAGAAATAACTTTTGGAAAAGTATAAAGAGTAAATTATAAGCAGTCTCAGAAAGGCTGGGAAGATCTCAGAGTGGGCCAGGGTCATGACGCTAAGACCCCGCATAGAAAAGGTCAATGAGAACGGAAGAGGGCAGGCCCTGAGGAAGATCAGGGGCTGAAGGAGACTTGCTTCTCACCTGAGGGAGTGGTACAGCACTTCCTAAGTGTGTTTGCTGAGGGAAACTGGTGTGCCTTGACGATGAACATTCCTCCTGAGTATTCATGAGGTTCAAAGTACCACAGGAGATGGTAGTATTTGAAATACATCAGAGCAGAGATTTTATTGGTAGCTTTGGGAATTATTAACTCTGAATTAGGAAAGGGGAAGAAGAGAGAAGAGAGGAAAAGAAATGAAGAGAGAAGTTAGAGAGAAAGGCAAAGAAAGAGATGGGATGGGAAACAGGAACATACTAGATAATGCTTGCCTCTGTGTCAGAAGGGAAAAGGGTTCCACCGAGAAATTCTAGCAAATAAGGAAGGCAACTAAATACAGAAACGAGTTTTCATGAGAATGAAATGACTAGTTACATAAAACATTAAGTAGAATTGGGACTGAAAGAGAGTTTACAAATTATGATTAGGTTCCCTAATGTGTTCTGTAGGCAGTACCATTAGATCTTTATGTTCAAACACTGATTTAAGATGAATTCTTGGAACATAATTAAATTAGATCTGTGGGCTATATATATAACAAGTACTGGGTGTATTTGGTTCAGGAATGCATGGAATGACTTGCTTAGAGATTTAGCTTAGCATTCCTTAGAGTTCCCTAAACTCATTGGGAAAAAATATTTTAAGAGATTAAAATAGCAATCTCTAACATTGCTTCTCTATATTATGGAAAAGATGCTATAATAACCAAGCATCAGCCCCTGAACACATTCCATCATAGGATATGGTCAAATAAAAGAGCCACCCACATGCTGTCTATCTACAGTAGAATTCACCAATGGCCTGTCGTCTGGATTTGGCCTAACAAGGTGTTTTTCTTGACTTACACAGCATTTTAACAGTTTTTGAGCCAATATAAAAAATGTAGAGATACTGTATATAAGTCTAGAAAAACGTCTGACAACATGGACTTTAAAATAATTGAGGTGTGTGCATAGAAAGAAATGAGTTTGTTATATCTTCATATTCAGTGTCATTATACTTTGTTCCTATCTGCCCCATCACTTCTTCCCTCTGGCTAAACCTCTTCCCTCACAAAGAGTTCCTCCCCTTCTCCTCTACCCTCATCTTTCCGTTTCCCTCCCTTCTGCATACCTCTTCCTTCTCTCTCATCCTGTCTGTTTTCACATCATATATGTATATGAATAGGCATATTTAGAGTCCACATGAAAGAGAAACATGCTATACTTGTCTTTATTGTTCTGACCTTTCCCACTTAGGTAAGGATCTTGAGTTCTATCCATTCTCCTGTATGGCTGAGTAAAATCCCATTGCTTGTATGCACTTCCTTATCTATCCACTCATTTCTAGATGGACAGCAAGGCTGATTCCATACTTTGCTATTGTGAATAGTGCATCAATAGCCATGGATGCACAAATAGAGACATGGTGAACTCATAACTGAATTGTATGTTAGAGAATTCCTAGGTAGACTACACACTTCCAGCAAAGTGGTAGACTGTAACAACAGCAAATAGAAGCAAGGAGCCTTGCTATATTCCAGTAATATACTTGCTGAGGAAAAAAAAATCAATTCATAGTGACTTCAAAGTAAATAAACCAATGAACAAGTTTATGAAGGAAACTAACCAGAGGTAAAGATACCTACAATTTTGAAAAGCTTCAAAACATCAAAAAAGAAAGAAATTGAAGAAGATACTAGAAGATGGAAAGACACCCCTGTGTTCATTGACTGAAAGAACTAATACGTTACCAAATTAAGACCTACAGATTCAAGGCAATCCTCACCAAAATTCTAATGGCATTATACACAAACTATTTTTCAAAAATGCTATTGTCCCATACCCATGCACATACTGGAATTACTCATGAGACTCAGTGGGTTAAAAACAAGTATATGAATTTGGGTAGGGAGGAGTTGGAAGAAAAAGAATAGGAAGATGGATTAGATATAAACAAGTTGTGGACCTGTTCTCAAGAATAAATAAAAAAATTAAATTCTAAAATTCATATGGAATCACAAAAGACACGAAAGAGTCAAAACATTCCTCAACAAATTAAAAATGCTGATGGCTTCACAATACCTGATCTCAACTTATGCTGAAGAACCATATTAACAAGACCAGCACAAAACTTCCACAACAGACATATACAATGGAATACAATAGATGACCCAGAAATAACTATAGACAGCCTCATGGTATTGACATGTATCCAAATCATACACTGACCAAATCATAACAATAACCTTGTTAATGAATGATGCTGAAAAACTATATGTCTGTATGCAAAGTAAATTAGGTCCATATCTTTACCCTGTATCAAAATGAATTTGAAATAGATCAGAGACCTAAATGTAAGTCCTGAAACTACTTAGAGATAAAAACATTCGCATTAGAAGCCCTACGAGTCAGGCGTAGACAAGAGTCATCTACTATGGACTCAACAAATGACAAATGGATGGCATGAAATAAAAGCTTCTGCCCAGCCAAGGAAAATGTCATCAACGTGAAGAGACCACTACAAAATGGGGGGGGGGGGGGGGGCGTTACCAACTAGGCATCAAGAAGGAGATTAATATCTAGCACTTATAAAGAGCTCTAAAAATTAAATTGTCATCCAGCCAGCAAATAGTCTAATTAACTGATTAGACGTTTCTCCAGAGAAGAAACACAAATGGTCAAGAAATGCTTGAAAAAGCATTTGAAACCCTCAGCCATCCCAGGAATGTCAATCAGAACTGCTTGATATGGGCTCACCCAGTCAGCATGGCTCCGGTCGAGAAAGCAGACCCCTATAAGAAGTTTTTAGTTTCTTTTAGAGAACTATCAGACCCAAGGACTGTTCCTAAGATGGCCATCATTACCCATGTCTGCAACCCCACATCCAGGAAGCCAGAAAGGAGACATCATTCCAGACAAGCCTAAAGTGCACTTTAAGACCCTTCTCAGAACACAAATAAACAGAACTATTGTTTATTGTTCAGCTTAGTTAAGGATTTCCTTATCCTATTGAACTTTAGTTAGATAAAATAAGAGTTTATGAATATTTTCTATGTCTTTTCCCTCAAAAGGGGATGTGCTTTGTATCATTGTCTAACTGGGGGAAAGCCACATAAATTGCGAGGGGGTCATAAAATCAGAAAACCCCGCATCAAAACCTTAGTTCTGTGGTTTCCATGCTTTGAGTCTTCGACAAGGAACTGAGCCTCTCCATTTCCTCCTGTATCAAGTCGTGCAAGTGTTGTGGCATTAAGAATTGTCTATGTGAAACACTAATCAGAGTGTGGCAGAGATTAGGTTCCCTGAGGTCAGCGATGTAAACTACCAGTTGGGCGCACTTTATTGTTTGACTTAGAAACTATTTTAGGGGCTGGGAGACGGCTCAGTCTGTAAGGTGACTGATGTATAAGCTGGAAGCTGCGTTCTGTCCTCAGCCGCACATAAAAAGCTTAGCACAGTAGGAAAATGAATGTAACTCTAGGGCAAAGACAAGAGGATGCTGGGATTTGCTGGCCAGCCAATCAAGCCAAATCAGTAAGCTTCAGTCCAGTGCGAAACTTTGTCTTGAGAAAAGAGGTAGAGAACTATAAGGGAAGACACCCAACATTGACCTCTAGCTACAACATGCACACATGTGAGTATACACACTCCCACAATGGAAGGTATATATACAGTAAATTAAGTCATATGTTCACAAGATATTCTGCTAACACCTGATTGTTGATTGCACCATGCCTATGATGTGACCTAGATGTTCGGCTGGTTTCAAATTTGCCAAGGGGGCTGCCCAGCCACAAGGTGGTGGAGGTGGACTCATAACCTGGTTTCTGAGTACACACCAAAGACATATACCAAACACCTGTAATGAACTAAGTACTTTCTATGAGTGTGAACCAGAATAATGGGAAGGATGCAATCCATAGGAAAGGCTGACATTTGGAAAGATAATCATGGTGCTTCTACAGGCATTGAGGGCAGCGCTTGGACTGATGTGCATAGCAGAGCACAGGCAGCCAGATAAAAGGGGTGGAGGACAGGAAGGGAAGGACACTGAGAAAACAGGGCCGTGCTTTTATAATATATGGATCTCCTGTAGAGGTCCCCAGTACCTAAATAGTGGGAGAAACAGGCATGAGTGAAAAGAGAAAAGATCTGGAAAGAGCCAGGGGATCTGAGAAGGGGGTGAGCAATTTATGTGGCCCAGAAACATAGGAAGGAATAAGACAGATGGTGTGAAGGATGAGACCAGGAGAGGTGGGCTTTGGCTAGAAGGAGTGGACATGGACTCCTGGTTTTTTCCCCACATAGGCTATTCTAAAACTAAACAACCTTCTTCCCAAAGCTACGAGCAGAAGAATTGGCAGGGACTTAGTGGCTTCTTCCTTGACTCTTTTTCTGCCAAGTTGAGTGGTCAGCAGTGGGGGAAGCTCCAAGATCTGTTATTTGGCCATTGGTAGCAGCCCACTCTTGGCCACATCTGTATTCTCTGTCTCCCTCACTGTGTGCATGTGTGCATGCCTGTGTATTATGTAGAGACAGAACACAAGAGTAAATACAGTCCCCGTATTAGAGAAGAAAAGAACCTAGTATAGTTTTAAATTATGTGCACTGTGAAGGGGAAGTAGTGCCTAGTAAAAAATCTTCAAAAGTTTGAGGTGTTGCATGCTGTTAAGAACAGCTAGTTTCCTGGGTTTCTGATGAGAATGTTTGCACTGTGTTATTCACGTGTCCTTGTCTTAAGCTCAATCTTCAGGGGCAGTTTCCTCAGGGCACTGATAGGACACCATGTAGACTCCCTCCTGCAAGTCTGTCTGTCTTCTCAGACTAAGAAACAATGAGCATCCCCCATCAGGCTACTGGACTCAGTGAAGTTCCAAGGGTTGGTGGTTATGTTTTCTATCCCACTAATGAAAAAGTCTGGTAACTTGCCTGATTTTCTACTTTGGTAAGCCCTTCATTGAGAAACCCCATTCTCCATTACAAATTATACCTGTCTATCATATGGCAAAAAGAAAAATAGCCAAGTGTACTGGCTCACTCCTGTAATCTCAGCACTTGAGCTAAAGCAGGAGGGTTGCTATGAATTTAAGGCCAGCCTGGACTACATAGTGAGAAGCTGTCTTAAAACAAAATGAAAATATGAGAAGCCCAACATTCTACCTTTAGAAATCAATATCTACTTTTAAAAGCTATAAAAGTATCTTCAATTTAAAGTATGATTTTATAATTTTAAAGTATTTGCTGTTTATTCCAAATAAATAGCCTGGACTTTTAATAATTAGAAACAAAATGTTTTGGTTTAATGTGACTTGACCATTAGGAATTTCTGTACTTAAGTGTTCATTCCTCTTCATTCCAGGTGCTGGTCTCAGTGTCAGCGACAATGAATCTGGACAAGGCAGCCAGGAGGGAGGTACCTTGACTGACTCCCAAATTGTGGAACTCAGGAGGATACCCATTGCTGACACCCACCTCTGAGAGCCTCACTAGCACTAACCATTAGAAAGAGGATAATTTTCCTATTTGCCTTGACTTTTGTCTTAACTCTGTAAGCACTTACAGCCATGTAGCAATGGTGTGTAAGTCACAATGAGTGACTTACAGAGACGTGATCGTTAGCTGGAATAAACATTGCTTAATATTTGTGCGATTTAAGAATCGACTGCTATCATAAAAGATCAGATCATTCCTATAAATTACATATAAGAATGCATATAGTTCAAAATTATTAGTTGTTTCTTAATCATCCTAACTCAGCTAACATTGTTTAATGAAAGTACTAATCAATAAAAGCAATAGAATCCAGTTGGTATCAGCAAGGCTCGTTATTATAAATAAATGTGCATGGGCAGAAGCACAAAGTGTGTATTCTTGATGGTGTCTGGCACATGTCTCTTTTAGCAGTGATTGAAAGGAATCCAAAGCCCACACTTCTACAAGTGTAGATGATTTTGAGTCCTGAACAGTGCACTGTGTGGTCTGTGAAGGATTTTGCACCTGAGTGTGGATGAGACACTGAGGTTGCAGTGTCTTTTTCATCAGCAAGACCAGATTCTGCTCTCAACAAACTTAAGGTTCTGAACATGTTCCAGAATGAATGTTCTGTCCCCAGTTAAAAATAACTTCACCACAGCCGTTCATGAAACTGAGAGGAGGTTCATTCAAACAGTACAGTTTGTCTTGGAGAAAATTTTCTTGGTTTGTGATTTTTAGTCTTTCTTTGTCTTGGAATGAGAAATCAGGAAATCTCTCCCAGAACACTGTTGTAGACAAGATGATTTCATTTACTGTGTTTCCAGAAGACGTGCTGGAAACAGAACAAAGTTGCTCATGGTATGCTTTGTGACCTTTTGGAATTCTTACATATTTTTAAAGAAAACTAAGCATCATCCCAAAGAAAAATGTGACATTATTTTAAAATTTTAAGAAAATTTGTTATGGTAATGATTTCCCTTGAGCTTCATTTACAACACCCCTGTGTTCCTTCTGGGTGTCAATATGGTGTATGTGACTTGAAACCTGGGTGGCACTACTTATCGTGATTGACCTTGGTTTTCGTTTCTTCTCAAAGCCCCCGCATCTTTCTTACATTGGGCTGTGATAAGCAGTTGTTCTCAGAAATAGAAGACAAAACTCCACAACAAAATCAAGGAGTATACAAAACAGAGGCAATGGCTTTGGTTAACTTACATTCCCTTGTAGGAACTTTAGAAAACATGGTACTTAAACTAAATTCACCTGAAGTGACAAGTATGATCCTTCAGCCTGGAGCGCTGCCCAGCCTTCTGTCTCATGATAGAATTGAAGCAACTAAAATATGGTTTAAATACATAAACCACAAGGAGGAATGCTTTAAATTAATGGCCGTTTCAATGTTATTGAACTTTATTGAATTTGGCATTAGGTGATGAGGATTCAACATCTCTAATCCACCATCCAAACTCAATAGCAACACTTTCTATCAGGTTCCTAGAACTCAAAACTTCTCCAAAGGCAATTATCAGTATCTATTTTCATTTCCACATGCTTTCAGAATTTAGAAAAACATACATGTAATAAGTATATGATACAAAGTGGTGGTTGAACAACATTGCAAATTATACTATGTCACCAATACTGTTAAATTTTGCTTTAATGGATTATGTGGCAATTTGACATTACAGATTAGGAGAGGGAAACAGAGGGAGCAGGTAGGGAAGGAGCGAGAGAGAGAGAGAGAGAGAGAGAGAGAGAGAGAGAGAGAATAGCTCCATTGTGGTACTCCTGATTCTTTTAGATCATTGTCCATAGTTGAGCATGAGTCCTTTTTTTAAAAGATTTATTTATTTATTTATTTATTTATTTATTTATTTATTTATTATGTATACAATATTCTGTCTGTGTGTATGTCTGCAGGTCAGAAAAGGGCACCAGACCTCATTACAGATGGTTGTGAGCCACCATGTGGTTGCCGGGAATTGAACTCAGGACCTTTGGAAGAGCAGGCAATGCTCTTAACCACTGAACCATCTCTCCAGCCCCGAGCATGAGTCTTTAATATACTAAAAGTACAGAAACAAGGCTCTCAGAAACCAGGTTCCAGGATACATAAGCCTCATATGTCAACAGCAGCAGCCATTCACTAATGTGTTTTGTCCCAGCACAGTCTGAGATGAGACTGTGAGCTGATCACCTGTTGGAAGAAGCAAATCAAACCAAAGGTGAGAGTGAACATTGCGAGGCAGAGACACGCACCTGTTACCTACAGCCTTTCTCTTTCACATTTCATCCCCATTTCTTTAACAGTTTTATTGAGATAAGATTCATATTCCACAAAGTTCCTTCATTGGAAATGTGTAATTTAATGATACTTGGCATATGTTATTATGGTTCTGATAGAATGTGCTAGCACATCATAGCATTGAATTCACCTTATGACCTGCCCAAAGTGGAGAAGTCAGTATCACCAATGACATTCACAATGTAATTTTAATGTTGCACAATCACAAGTTCTCTTTCCAAAATATCCGCATCGCTTTAAACCAGGTGTGCTTCCCATCGCCCTCAGTTTCTTTCCTCTTCTCAAAGACAGGTGGAGTTTCTGTAGCAGCTCCCCTGCTGCTGGGGTGTAGCAAGCTTTCTTGTTGGACTATCTTTGGACCACCAGCCCACAAGTAATGACCCAGAGACTTATCATTAATTATTAAAGCTTGGTTTTACTTTAGGCTTTTTCCCAACTAGCTCTTACAACTTAACCTTTTTTATTTTAAATCTACATTCTGCCATGTAGCTTGATTACCCCTTCTTAGTAGGATGCATTGAGCTTACTCTGAATCTACTGCTGAAGTTGGGCACCTAGATTCCTCTCTCCTCTTCCTCTCTCTCCCCGGAAATCCTGCCTGTCCTGTCCTGCCTAGCTATTGGCCATTCAGCTTTTTATTATACCAATCACAGCAATACATATTCACACAGCGTACAAATATTCTACAACACTGGGGTTTGAGATTTAACCACCAGCACCCATATCTTTTAAAATTTTATGCTTTAGAATATTAAAACTATAAAATCTTTTCCAAATTTGGATGCAAGTGAAGAGGCAGATGAAATATGGCATGAGATAGTGATGAGCCAGGCAGAGTCTGTGCACGGTACGACAGTGATGGAAACCTCCCTTCAACAGCGCAGACACTCTCCCATTGAGTGTGCTATCAACATGATTCCAAACTGTATAGCATTTTTCATATCTCTCAATTCTGACCACAGTTGCTTAAATACACTGGGGATACAACTTCAGGAATGTTGCTCTCAAAGCATTTCGCCTTGTGTTTACACTTGAGAGGCTCCTTGTGTTTAGCCCTAAGGACTCTAGGTCCTTCTGTGTGAGGGTAGGCTCCGGTCAGATAAAGAAGTGGTTTTTACCTTCCTAGAGTGGCTGACTGCCAGAGTAGGTGTCACCTAGATAGTCTGACCTGGAACAAAGAACACCCAAGGGCCCTCCATGTCTTCTATTTTAATTTTGGGGCAAAGGCCCCATCTTGCCAGGCTTCCCCAGCAAATTATATATATATTCAACAAAACAGTTGAAGAACCTCATTGCCCAAGAGCCATGCTGAAAGAAGCACTTAGCTGACCAAGACTAGGATACTTCATACCTTGGATTTCCTAGTTCTTCACTGGCCAATGTAATAATGACAGTTCAGATGGGTGACCTCTTTATTGATAAACTTAGCTGCCCAAGCACCTTATTCACACTCAATTTCTCTCACTTGTCTAAACTGTATCCCATAAAATTTCACACAATAGCTTTCTTTAAAGAAAAAAATCTTACTTTTCTGAAAATCCCAGATGTTTTCAGCTGTCACACACAGTTCCTGGCCCCTACACATCACTAAATGCAGGTATTCCATCCTCCAGGAGTCTGTGCTCTGACTCACTCAAGTAGCCTGGACAAGCTAGGCAACCACGTTAATTGGGAATTTACTGCACTCCATCTCCCCATTTGCAAAGTGGAATCGCCTTATTATGAACATGAAGTTTAGCTTTACATCACGGGCTTCTGGTGTTCCCATATCTTCACAGCAGGAGTCGCGCTGTCATGCACATGAGAGTGGGGTTGTCACTTCAGACCCTGATTTGAATTCTTTTCTATATATATCCAGAGGTCAGGCTGCTGGATCACTTAGGCTCTTTTTAAGTAGAGGCTGCACACACCATTTTGCAGATCCCAGTGTACAAAGATCCCAGTTTCACTACTAGACCACAAAAATTGGTCTCATTTTTCATTTTTTTTACTTGTTAGTATATGTTACTTGTACATGATGAATTTCATTAGGACATTTTCATGCATGTGTATAATGTGTTTTGGTTGTATTCATACCCCATTGCCATCTCGTGTCCTTCTCTCAAGCACCTTCTTCTGGCAGGCCTCAGGTGACATCTAAGTTTGCCTATCACTGGTAGACACTGACATTAAGCATTTTCATGTCCATGTTGGCCATTTGTATACATTCTTTAGAGAAATATCTATTTAAGTTCAAGGTCTCTTTTTAGTTATGTTATTGGGATTTGTGTATCTATTTCTTTTTTCTTTTTTTGGTTTTTCAAGACAGGATTCCACTGTGTAACAACCGTGGCTGTCCTGAAACTAACTCTGTAGACCAGGGTGGCCTTGAGCTTAAAGAAATACACTTGCGGGGGCTGGAGAGATGGCTCAGTGGTTAAGAGCATTGCCTGCTCTTCCAAAGGTCCTGAGTTCAATTCCCGGCAACCACATGGTGGCTCACAACCATCTGTAATGAGGTCTGGTGCCCTCTTCTGGACTGTAGACATATACACAGACAGAATATTGTATACATAATAAATAAATAAATATTAAAAAAATACATTTGCCTCTGTTTCCTGAGTACTGGGATTAAAGGTATATGCCACCACAGCCTAGCTTGTATATCTATTTACTTCTCTTGAGTTGTAGAGATTTTCTTTACCTAAGCATTAACCTTATTGGATACATGATCTGCAAGTGTTCCTTTCATTCTCTGCTGACTTTTTGAATTCATTATCAAGTGAAATAAAACTTGCACAAATGAATGAATACAGCATGATTTCCTGTATGTGAGTCATCTAAAACAGCCAATCCAGTATAAGGCTGGGGTGGTGGTTGCAGAGGCTGAGGGGAGATGAGGAGTTGTGAGTCAGTGGGTATAAGTGCAATAAAGTGGGATGAATAACCTTTAGCAATTTTCAACTTTGTTTATAAAAATCAATAATATATTTTATGCCTAAAATTTATTAACAAGTTATCTACCACAGTAAAATACATTTTGAAG